TATTGCCGTAGCGATTGGGGTTCATCACATCGTTCTGTGCTGAATGTAGGAATCCCGCCTTTCCTTGCTCCTCTCGCAGGCTACAGTGGAGGAGCTGAAGGCGTCGTACCGGCGGCTATGCATGCTGTATCATCCTCAGAAAACAAAACAAAAAACTCATTTTTTGTTGTTTTAAAGTTACATACTGGAGCTAAAATCCATTTTCTGGGTCAAAACCAGGACCCACTGGAAGTAGCCAAGTCAGACCTGTAAGCTTGGTGAATTAAGGTGGCAATGGCTCGGACTTGGGGCTCCAGGGTACGGTTCCAAGGGCCCAGCCGGGCCCCTGGGAGTACCTGGACCCGCCCCGCCTGGTGCCAGCTCCCTGGCACCCGAGGAACAGGGCGTACCCCAAGACCAAACTCAAAGTACAGAGGTCCTGGATCTCGTATGTGGGGCTCCAGGGTACGATTCCAAGGGCCCAGCCGGGCCCCTGGGAGTACCTGGACCCCCCCCCTACCTGGTGCGGGATGCCTGGTTGGTTGTAAACAAGGTTGTCAAACTGGTGTGATTTAAATAGCCTTTTCTCTAAATATAATCAAGATGGAGACTCCATGTAGGTTTACTTTCCAAAAGCTTTCCAGATGAAAATTCCGCCCGCAATTAATAAACCTGCCCCTAAAGCTGCTCCAATTCCTATTGTCATTTGCTTTAGGAATTTGCTCGATTCTTTTTTCCTGTCTTGATTTGCTTTCATTTCTGCCTCACTGATATCTGTCACCTCCTTCTGTTTTTCCATCTCTGAGTTTTTTTGGTCTTCTTTCACCTCCTTCTGTTTTTCCATCTCTGAGTTTTTTTGGTCTTCTTTCACCTCCTTCTGTTTGTCCATCTCTGAGTTTTTTTGGTCTTCTTTCACCTCCTTCTGTTTGTCCATCTCTGAGTTTTTTTGGTTTTCTTTCACCTCCTTCTGTTTTTCCATCTCTGAGATTTTTTGGTTTTCTATCACCTCCTTCTGTTTTGCCATCTGTAACTCTTTCTTAACTATCGTTACTTCTTTTCCTAAGTTGTCTATCTGGCTTTCCAGCTGCAGCATTGTGTCTATGATTTCCATTCCTCTATCAATTCTAAGTTTTAAACTTACATTGGCCTCTTCCAACAGTTTATGAAGAAGTTCAATTTTTCTCATTTTGTCTTTGTCCGTATATATCAATTTGGAGTCCAGCTGCTGCAGCTTGTGTATGTCATCCACTGCTCTCCCTAGTCTAGTATTTATATTTTCCATATTAAAATTGTCATTTGAAAGGCGATTTTCAAGCCCTTGTGCTAAATTTTCTGCTGACATGTTGTTTTGATCTTTTAAAATGAATCTTATTTCAAAGATGCCATCAATTAACTTGTCCAGCTTTCCATGTATTTCTATCTCCTTTTCTTCATCCATCTGTGGTTTTTTGGTCATGTCCATCTCCTCCTTTTCTCTCTCTGTCTGTGTATCTTTCATCAGATTCATTACTGCTTTCTGTACATTTTTTATCTGGTTGTCAAGATTATCCAATTTTTGCATGGCCTTCAGTGCTCTGTTGAGTCTCAAATTTAAACTTAAATTTCCCTCTTCAAGTAATGTCTCTAACACTTCAATTTTTGTAATTGAATGCTTGTCCATCATGGTGATGTCAAGCTGGTGCAGTTTATCAATCTCCTCTGCTGCTCTCCAGATTCTTGCTTCCAAGCAGCTCATATTAAAGTGGTCTTCTGGAAGAAGATCCTCAAGTCCATGAACTACATCATCTTCGCTAGCCATTATGTTTCTAGATTTCAAAATGAATCTTATATTATTCATATCATCATTTAACTTATTCAGCTGCATATTCAGTTCCCTAGAGATCTCTAAGTTTTTCTCCATTTTCTTTGTAGTTTGTCTGTTTAACTCTTCTGGAATGTTTGAACTCTTTACTGACTAAATGTGTCTTGTGATGAACTTATGTTCAAGAATGCAGCATTGTGATGTAATGCAGAAAAGCGTGATGTCACAAATTGATGTCACAGCCTCAGTAGATCAAAGGGCAAACTCATCAAGTTTGAATGAAAACATATTTATTTTTACATATTTTTTTAACAAACCCAAATTTATCTACAGCAACTTAGACCAGCTGTAAAGTTGTGTATGCATGATTTTGGTCATGGTTTTAAGGAAATGTTAACAGATATATCGATATTGCGTTGAAGAAATCTCGAAACTTAACACCTGTTTTTCCAAGAGCTCCATCTTTTCTGTCCTCTTTCGTTTCTCTGCTCTCTGAAAAATATCTGGTTCATTCTCATTAGCGTCTCATTACCACGCCCTGCTGAAGCAGACGTCAGCAGCCGGCCAGAAGGTGGCGCTGGTCTGGTCCATGTGGAGGCTGTGTCCGTTTCCTGTCGAGCCTCTGCAGCAGGAGCTCAGAAAGTATCTGAACACTAAAGGTAGAGAGAGCCACTGCACGCTGACACACACACACACACCCACACACACACACACACACACACACACACACACACACACACACACACACACACACACACACACACACACACACACACACACACACACAAACAGTGGACGCCAACATAAACACATCATCAGCGTCAGTTCATTACTAATCTGCTCTGTTTGATATGATATATAGTCTATCTAAAGTCGTGTTTGTGGAGTATTTTTTTAGTTAAGCTAGAAACGTAATATTTTTCATTTATATATATATATATATATAGCCTATATATGTTTTTTTTGTTTGTTTGTTTTTTTGAGTTAACATGTCATATTTTACAGTACACAAATACACACGACTTTCCGGCCCACACACACAAGCATAAGTACAAACACAAACACACACACCTTACACGCACGAGCAATTTCTTCGCATGCAAACTCAGTGGAGTGTTGAGAAATGCGATGTAAGGTCGCGCCTCGCCATAAATTATGAACTCCCTCTTGAATTTCAATGAAAAGAACTGGCTGAAAGTCACTCTTTTTTTTCTTTTCTTTCTTTCTTTATTCCCCGAAAAAGGCGCGTGGGCCGGCGGGGTGCTGTCCACTCGCCCGTGGTGCTGAAGCTCGCGCGGCGCTGGCGGTAAAGTAAGGACAAGGCTCCGCACGCGCGCCCACGCGGGCCGCGCGCGCGCGCTCCCGGTCGAGTCTTTCTCTGAGTCGCGTTATTAAAGCGAAGCGGTGATGGGTCAGAAAACAAACTCGCAGACGGAAATGAAAAACATGCCCCCGATGTTCTCTTGTTTAGGCCGTGGCAGTAAATCGTTAAGCGCCGTCATAATATCCCCGCAAGAAAGTTCGGATCGGGAGGAGCCAATCGCAGCGCTCTCACTTGAGGGGCTATTTATAATTCAAAGGCTCCACGCTCGGTTATCCCTTCTAAACAGTGGGGCTTAACTGGGACCATTTTGTTGCCCTTTCCAACCCACTCTGCTGTCACTCTGCCGCGGGGTAGAACACCCCTTTTGTACCAAAGCCCCCAGTTCGACAGGGACAATCCTCTCTCCAGACAGGCGCTGTTGGGGAGACAGAGGTTCTGAATGCTTCGACACTGGATGCCTCTGCTCCGCTTTGTCCTCCACAAAAAGGCCTAATGGAGGCCATATAGAGGCCATATGGGGCCATATGTATATATTTCACCATCCCCACATTCTTAAGTTCAGATATTTGCTCCCTATGTTATTTCTCCTTCATCTATTGATTGTGGGAGACTATGAAGAAAAAGGAAAAAAGAAAAAAACGAGACACATAAAAAGAAACGTTTTAAAGCCGGCAAGCTTGAACCAGACAGTGTCTGTTACAGCTTCAGGTTGTCTGTGGAGCTCAGTCATTCAGTTCTGATGCTCTCCGTGGCGTCATTGCAAAGGCCGGCCTGCAGATTGTACACAAGCCCTTGGAGGAGGAGGCCACAGAATACCCCTGGAGGAAGCTCACTGAGGTGATTCACAGAAGAAAATGTGAGCCAGGAAATCAGTTTACAGAGAGTCACAAAAAACAAAAACAATAATAGACAAATAAGACGTTGTTGAGCAACTTGCAAGAAGTTGTCTGATGGAAATTGGATGCATGTGCAGAAAAGGCAAACGTCAGCATCATTAACACCTAAAACAGAAGAAAACGAGGTTCCAGTGGGCTGAAGAGACCCAGTCGGGGAGTGTGGGTGATTGGCTGGAAGTGGCGTTCGGTGGTGAGTCCTGGATCTGCCAACATATTGGCCAAGGAGATGATGCTGGAATGATCGCTTGGTGGCAGTCTGAAGGAAAACAAACAGCACATTTCCAGACTCATTGAAGGCAGAGCGCGTATCAAACAAAAGAACAGATGGTAGCGACACCCTTTACACTCAAACACAAGTGGAAATTGAAATTATAGACATAAAAACAAGGCTGCATGACATGACTCCATGTAAAACAGATTTGAGAATAGAGGAGAATCTCAAGCTGTTGGAGCCTGACTTGTGAAGAATGCTGCTTTCTGTGCCTTGGGGAATTCAAGCTGTCAGAAAAAAATGAGTGGAAAAGTAACACACAGGTAATTGTGTTTTTTGACTCTTTATATCAGTTTTTCCTTGGAAATGAGCAATCCAATACTTTCTTTCTCTCTACTTGTCCTCCATCAATAGTAATATCACGAGATTTCTAAATAGGGCTGTTTAATTAAATGGGGGAGCTCATTCTGATTCTCTCTCAACTTTTACATGCAGCACCAATAGCTCAAAAATATTACAAACATTTTGTAGTGTGAGGAGTTTCCAAACACTTTTATTTTGGAAAATATAAAGTTCTTCTGCATGTTTGTTGTTTGCATACAGCTTTAAGTAGTTTTGACAAGACCGAAATAAATAAATACCAACTACAGTTTTAGTTAATACCTAAACTTTCTCTTTGCCGTTTGGCTCATGTCGTAGTTTTTCCTCAAATTGAAATTCAACCAGCAGAGGGCGCCATAACAGATCCAAGCCCCTCAAGCTTCCCATCTCGCCGACCAATGAGCTTGCAGAACACCAACGCGATGGGCGGGATCAAACGGAACGACACGCAAACATGGCGGCGTCTACAGAAGATGATTTTGAGTTCAATACTCAGGACTACTATTCTCTGCTCAACGTGAGGAAGGAGGTATGGTTTGTTCTTGGTTGGGTGCTGAACTCTGTCTTGTTTGCCGTGGCTGTTTGATAGTTTGTCATTGAACCAAAGCGGCCTGCAGTCGGTGCATCGTCCTCCAGTTAAGCGCCGCTCCTCAGTCAGACTGCACCTCCTCCTCGGAGGACGAGTCCGGGCTGATGCTGCGGACACTGATCAGATCCCTCATGAATCTCAGTTTGTCTTAAAACCGTGGCGCCTCACGTTGCTTAAGCTTATTTACTGTAGGCAGCTAAAACCCTTAAGCTAAAAGCTGAGGAATTATTACATTCTTAGTATCTTAAGTAATATAAATAGGAGCAAAAGCTGCTTTAATACCACTTGTCCTTCTGTATCCATTGCACCCCCTTAACTTTTTCACATTGTCATGTTAAAAGCATAAACTTCATTGGATTGTTATGCATTTTATGCTGCATACAGTCTTTTAGGGGTTTGCTTTCGTATTGGCTTTGCACATCTGAACATTTTACCCATTCTTCTTTGTAAGATAGTTCCAGTTTAGATACATTAAATGAATTAGAGGGCAAGCATTTTCAAGCTTGCCATCTGCAAGAAATATATAAAACTTTTGCTATGGCGAACGGTATCTTCCTTTATCACCCTGCTGGAGGAAAGCAATCCCGCAGCATGATGTTGCCAAAACCATTTTTCACTGCATGGGCAGAACATCATGGTCAAGTTAAATTCAACATTTTGTCCTGCCCCTACCCTCCAAATACCATAAAAAACTCTTTATTTATTAAGAGCTTTAGCAATAACAATGAGTCATCCACACTGGAACTGAACAAAAGAGACACAAACACTGGCCAGGTCATCAAAGGTACCGAAACTCACAAGCTTTAGAGTAGACACAAATAAATAACAAAATGGATAAAAATAAAGTCACAGACAACAACTCAAACTCTGTTGACAGGCAGGGGAAAACATTTTTTTAAATTATAAAACAGAAAGCGGAAGTGCGACTACCTCTGAGCAACACCATGTCTTTAAAACAATTACACTCATCCGGGCTTCTGAGCTGTAAGTGTTAAACAGTACAAATCGGTTCAACAGCTTAATGAATGGGGCACAACTAGTAAAAATCTGCAAAACAAAATCAAGGAGTTTCAAATAAATGCATTCATTTGATGAATGAGGCCAGCGAGGGGAAGTCAAAAGTAGAGAAGCATCTCATTCGCTTGCAACAGTTAAACATCAAGCAGGGATATTTCACTATGTACAAGAGAGAAATGGAAGATTAATTCCAAGAATCTCATTATAGTATTCAAGAACATATAATATATAGTATAGTATTCAAAAAAAGAATTTTAACAAGTGCTTTTTTTGTTTGTTTGTTTTACTGTGTCAGAGTTCATTTAAAATATACCACGGTTTATTTTTGAGGACCCATTCAACTGCAAAAAACGGATTTTTTAGTGGCGTCTTCATCTTATTTTTAAGTTCACCGGCAGAATCCATTTTGTAACCTGAATTGGGGATGATGGCGTTTTCAAACGAGGCCGGGACAGAAAAGTCAATACTGGCCAAAAATTTAGTGCCATCCATCTCCTGCTGTCAGCGAAGCAATGAGGAGGCTGGACTGAGCGTCCACCGATTCACCCCAGCTTTAGGTGAACCCGGCACTCAAACCAATGAGGATGAAAGGAAATGTTATGTTTTGTTTTTTGAAAATCGCAACAAGATGCCAGAATGTGAGATAAAACATTAATTGTGAAACAAAAAGTGAATGTTGTGACCATTTAAATTCCCTCTTGCAAAGGAAGGGATTGGATTTGTTTTGATTAAATATGCGATAATTAATTTAAGTCAACATCTGAATGTAAATCAGGCTATGTGATTGTAAAGTGCGACAACATAGCAATTCTATCGTTCGATATGATAAGATCAGTTATGATTTACCCATATTTTCTTCTGGTCTCTTCCTTTTAAATATTATGTTTTCTAATCTTAATCAATAGATACATAAAAATTGTAGGCAAACCCCTCCCCCCCAAAAAAAAAAAAAAACAGACAGTGACCCGAAGTTCACCTGATAATTAGCCAAAAGCAGAATTGAATGCATTTCTAAAGCCATACCAAATATAATCTCTTGCAATATTGCACCCACTGATATTGCCGTAGCGATTGGGGTTCATCACATCGTTCTGTGCTGAATGTAGGAATCCCGCCTTTCCTTGCTCCTCTCGCAGGCTACAGTGGAGGAGCTGAAGGCGTCGTACCGGCGGCTATGCATGCTGTATCATCCTGACAAACATCGAGACCCTGATCTGAAAAGACAAGCCGAGCAACTTTTCAATCAGGTTCACCGGGCCTACGAAGGTAGGGGTATTGATTCACAATAAGCGCTTTCATTGAGTTGAATAAGGTATTGATTTGAATTTAATCTGCAGAAAGAGTGTCTTAAAAAGTATGGTACAAGGAAACATGGACCTGAACTAATATTTTACTCCTCAGTGCTGAGTGACGCTCACTCCAGAGCCATCTATGACATCTTTGGGAAGAAAGGGCTGGAGGTGGAAGGCTGGGAGGTCTGTTTACATACTTAGTTCTGCATTTGTTGCCTCAGTGCACGTCGCAGACGCTTCTCTGTACAATATGATGTCATCGCGTAGGTGGTGGAGAGGAAGAGAACACCTGCAGAAATCCGAGAGGAATATGAAAGGCTTCAGAGAGAAAAAGAAGAGAGGAGACTGCAGCAAAGAACGAATCCCAAGGTTTCATCTACTTTTTCTTTCTTGACTCTTTTTACCCTCAGTGCTTTCAATATATTTCTGAAAAAAAGACACCTTTTGTGCCAGTGTTAAAGAGATCAACCTGCGTAACTCATTTCAGCATTTCTCCTGCTACTCTTTGTTGCTGTGTAATCCTCTTTTTTTTTTTTTTTGCTTTAATACCTTCCAGGGCACAATCAGCGTCGGTGTGGATGCGACGGACCTGTTCGATCGCTATGATGACGACTTCGAGGAGATGCCCGGCGGAGGCTTTCCTCATATAGAAATTAACAAGATGCATATTTCCCAGTCTATTGAGGTAAATCAATGGGCACGCTGTCAGCGCTCCATGTCCACTGTTTCGTTCTCACGTGGAAACGGCGTCATGTCTTCAGGCTCCTCTGACCAACACCGACACAGCAATGCTTTCGGGGTCACTCTCCACGCACAACGGGAGCGGAGGGGGCAACATTAACGTGACTGTACGCAGAGTTACATCAGCTAAAGGCTGGGGAGAGGTACCCACAACTACTACTAATAATAATAATGAAACTTTTGAGCTTTCGAAACATGGAGTTTACTTGCATTTCTGTTCATCTTCAAAGGTGGAGTTTGGTGCTGGAGACACACTGGGGCCACTCGTTGGGTTAAAGGTGTTTCGTAACGTTACACCGCGGTGGTAAGGCCCGGGTTTTTGTGCAGCATGTCCGAGGCAGCGGTAATTCTCGCTTTGCAGCCAATATACATCATCTCTCTGTGCAGTTTTCTCACAGCCCAGTGGGGTTTGCAGTTCTCGCCTCGAGGCCTGCGGCCGAGTTGTTCTCTGATGACGGCGCGCCACCTGGACCAGAACACAATGGGCTACCTTCAGTGGCGCTGGGGGCCCAATAGCGCCATGACAACCAGCCTGGTGCGGGACACGAAGAGTAGCCACTTTACTTTAGCTCTGCAGGTAAACACAAGTATAATACTATATTTACAGGAGCTCCCATGCACTCATTACCAGCGTTATTTATCTCATTAGTTCAAGTTGCATCACTATTCGGTTTCATTTTTTAAGGTGAAATGATGATATAAGTTCAATAATTTATTAAAAACAAGAGTCAAAAGCACAAGTTCACTACTCACTTTGGTAGAACTGGTTCAATTCATTGAAACTTGCTGCTTTTCTGACTCATAATCCAGATTTTGATTTAATTACCTTGTACAGAATGTCAGCCGTCTGAGGAGAAATCTACAAAAGAGCCATTCCTTCACCTGAGTAACAGTTTGAGTCAGATGGTTAAAACATCCGAAACAAAAAACCAAAATTGACAGCTATAGACATACACAAGTGAAATGTCTTATCAAATACGTTGATTAATATTGCGCCATAATAAAAGGTCCAATATTTTGTGTTTTCTAGGTCTGTAGTGCCATTTTGTACCACAATAAAGCAAGTATGTCACCCTCAGTTGTCATTAATCAAACATAACTCGACTTCACAGTTTGACACTTTAAATTTCCCCCTTAGTCTCTTTGAGAAGCTCCAACTTTTTAACTTTATAACATAATATGGGCCTCAAAAAAGCTGATTTTTCAAAATACCTCCTGGCCCTTAATGACACATGAACCATGTCAGTGTTTGGAGGATGGTTTGAGGTGAAACCTTCAATAAGGAAGGCTCGATCTACACCGTATGTAAACTTCTGACCAGTACCCTAATGTTTTAACGTCATGACTTATCATGATTGATCTTCCTGTTTGGTGTGTGTTTTCAGCTGGGTGTGCCTCATTCCTACCTGATGATGAGCTACCAGTACAAGTTCCAGGATGAGGACCAGACCAAAGTGAAAGGCTCCGTAAAGTATGACTTTCCACAGAAAAATTTTTTTGATCGAGCTGTTTGCAAGACAGGCTCTCTGAGCAGCGCTTGTTATGAGTCATCGTACCGTTTATCGGGTTTTTATCATATTAAACAGCTGATGTTTGGGGAAAAGGAAGCGCTGTCACTTTAACAAATTGGGCTTTTTTCCCCCTGTGCCCATAGACTGCTTCATTGTGTCCCTGAAGAACATCCAAAGCACAAGATGAAAATAATCCAGTTGTTCTGGTGTGACTCAGTGGAGCAGATTGTTGCTATAAACAGGATGTTTAGCTGCTAATCCTCCTCCCTCTTTTCTTTTTTTATCCCAGCAATAACGTAGTGACATACGCATTAGAAACTTCAAAGAATTTCAAAAAAAGATCTGGATTGCAATTGAGAGTTTTTATTTATTTATTTTTTTTACATTTGAAACTAATTCTTAAGCTTTGCCTTTTTCATGGAGTTCTGCAGTGGCTGATTTTAGGTGCTGCGGTTTTGAGACGAACCCGAGGTGACGTCTGCCACCTTGAAGGCAGCAGTAAATGGAAAATGATGACTTATTTCCCCTCTGAGTCTCGTTGGGTTTCTTCTAAAACATTTGCGAACACGTTCCTCCGTCAATTGACCTCAACACAGTCACCTTTTCATAAAGTGGAGACCAAAAGAGATTTCTACAGCGACAAACAGTGTCTTTTGCCAACTTGCCTTATGGTTGCTACATGATAATAATGACTAAATGTCGTGCAAAGTTCAATTTTATGTTATTTTTAAAGCAAAGTTTATGTCAGCAAATTTTCTGACTCAATAAAACTGAATGTCCTCTGCCTCTTACTTTAAAGCTGTGAGGTTATTTTGTTGTTTGCATTCATATTTACTACTTCTCCTGCTCCCTGGAACATGAAAAACATCTGATGTCTTATTCACTGAATTTTGTATGACACGTTGAGAACTCTGACTGCACTGTTTGTGTACCTGTGCAAAATTTATATCGGTTGAAGTTCAGGAAAAACTGAAAAGCACGCATTTTTAGTTCCACCAACTTTGCACACTCTTCGGCATGTGCCCGGTCCGATTTCTCCACCCGTCTCCGCTCACGTTTTTTTTCTTCGCAGGACAGGCTGGTTCGGCACAGTGGTAGAGTACGGCGCGGAGAGGAAGATCAGCCGTCACAGCGTTTTGTCGGCCACGGTCAGCATGGGGGTCCCACAAGGAGTCACGCTCAAGATTAAGTATGAGCCACCCTGAGACACCATCTCACACTTTTCTGTGTCCCTGTCCGTCTGAATGACGGTCTCGTCTCGTCGCCTGTGCTGCCGCTAATACTACTTCCTGTATTTGTTTTAACGAGGCTGGCGCGTGCCAGTCAGACGTACCTGTTCCCAGTCCACCTGACAGACCAGCTGTTGCCCAGCGCCGTCTTCTACGCCACCGTCGGACCTCTCCTGGCCTACGTCGCCGTCCACAGACTAATTATTATCCCGTACACGAAAGCGCAGAAAGAGCAGTGAGTACTCTGACTGCATCGCCGTTCAAACCTAATTTGATAGATATTGATCCTTCGTCACCAAGTCGCCATAATCACTGAGTTATCTGTGGTGATTTGCTGTTTGTTTCCCTCCGTTTCTGAGTTTCGGATCAGAAACGAACCCCTCGTGTCGGTGAAACATTTAGCATTTCTGTTTACGGGCGTGTCGAGGGGATTCTTTAATGCTTGTGCTACCATCAGCGAAAGCCTCCACAGTGAATCCCAGCGGGTGGCTGTTGATGTTTGCTTTGTGTGTCTCTCAGAGAGCTGGAGTTGCAGAGGAAGAGCTCCGCCACAGACATCGCCAAGAAGAAGCAGGAGGCTGAGACTGCTGTGAGTACCTCCTTCCAGAAACGCTTTTTTTTCTTTCTCCCTCCATTGTGTGGTGTAAGTGATCTCTGTTCATAAGTCAGGCTCTCCTCATTATGAACTCATGACCGAATCTCATCTATCCTACACTATTTTCCTTGGCCCTACCCATCCTCTTCCTCCTCCTCCTCTTCGTCTCTCCCTTGGCTCCCCTGCAGGTTCTGCTGATGCAGGAATCTGTGAGGAGAATCATAGAAGCAGAAGAATCCAAGATGGGTAAGGACACACACACACACACACACACACACACACACACACTGAGCCGCTGTACAGCAGAGTAACAAAAAGAAACTTTTCTCTTTTGGAGCCAGTCCAGACTTGGTGTAATTCAGGTACATTTATCTTTGTCGCTTTCGACACTTTATGATGCTCTGTGGCTTCAGGATCCTGGTTGTCTTACTTTTATTATCTGCTGCTGTGAAGCAAGTCATGATGTTGGTATAAACCACGTCTGTGTGATATATGCCTCCTGGCATCCGTACTGGTTTGTATCTGAACTTTGATTTCAGTTTCCCGCGTGTTTGTTTATAAGCAAACAAATGAAGTTTTGGGTGAAAAATTGGAATGTACTATTATATATATATATATATATATATATATATATATATATATATATATATATATATATATATATATATATATATATATATATATATATATATATATATATATATATGAGAAGCTGTGGTTTTTGTTTTATTTTATTGGAGGGCAGGTGAGCTTTCTATGTTCTTTCATTTTTTGTCTTTGTAAAGTCCCTTAAGATGACATTTGTTGTGAATTGTCACTATAAAGATAAACTGAATTGAATTGAAACTAAATTGAAAACACCAGACTGCAGCTGAAAAATCACAATAGATTTGTGGAAACATTCCAGCTGCGTTGTTATCCTGGTTTATGCTTTAATCCAGCATAATCAGCTCCTGGTCTCTGATGGAAACATAAACCATGCAGATTCTAATCATTTGATTTGGCAGCAAGATATCAGCATATGATCATTGCGCCATAAAATCACATTACATGTTTTCTGATTGGTAAAAATATCAATTGAAATGTTAAGAGAGTATAAATCCTAAAAAGACAAAGTCACTTTTATTCAGGGCCTATCAAAGAGAGACAGACATGACTGTGTTTTTCAGAAAAAGCAAAAAAAAAAAGCCCAAATAATGCTGGTTGTTTCACCGTCTTAAAACCCTGCAATAAAACGCTTCAGTACCGACGTCTAAGCATCACCTGCAGCTGTTTTACGAACCCCAAACACGCTGTGAATTACCACCCAGGCCTGATCATCCTCAACGGCTGGTACGGAAAGTTTGTGTCAGACACCAGCCAGAAGCAGGAGAAAGCCAAGGTGATTGACGTCACCGTGCCGCTGCAGTGCCTGGTCAAAGACTCCAAGCTCATCCTCACCGAGGCGTCGAAGGTGAGCCGGAGCAGATGATAATGGCTCCCTGAGCATCTGTAAATCAGCAGGCGTGCTCTTCGTACGAACGCTATCTCTGCCCGCAGGCGGGGCTGCCGGGCTTTTACGACCCCTGCGTGGGAGAGGAGAAGAGTCTGAAATTACTGTACCAGTTCAGAGGGGTCATGCATCAAGTCATCTCCGCAGACATGGAGCCACTACGGATACCCAAGCAATGTTAGTATTCAGCCACTTTCATCTGTGACTCATAGAGCTGCATGCTTATGTACAGTATTACTGAAAGCCTGAAAGCTGAGCATTAAATAATGATTTTTTTTTTCTTTTTCCAGCTCACAGAACTGAGTCTGAATCCTAGGAGTCCTCTGCTGTTGACGTAACAGACTATGTACGCAGAAGAACCCAAGAGTAGAAGGGATAGATTTTTTTTTTTTAATCCGTTCGTTTCCCTCCTCTAGCTCTCCTCTGTCATGGTGTTAGTGAATCTAATTCACAAGTCTGTGCTCCTTCCTTTTTCTAAACTACAGTTTTTTTTTTTTTTGGGTGAAATCAGCACCGGATTTCCCCTATTGGCTTCACCCGATACACCAGATCGCATATTGATACGCTGCGGGAGATCAGACAGCGGCCCCAGATAGTTTTGTAAGACACAAGACAGTCGGATGGCGATTTCCCTCAGTAGCGAATGAAATGTCTGTGGTTTCTCACATTCCTGTTTGAAGAAGCTATAATTTGGTCTTAAATATAATCTTCATTTGTCGCCATGGCAGTGTTTTGAGTCGTGAAACGGTTTGGGTTAACTATGCAGGATGGCGCCTCAGGAACCTCGAGGTCAACCAGGACTTCGCTCATGCTTTAGATGACACTCTAAAAGGTCAGCCTTTCTAATTTAGGAAACATTTTACTCCAGCGTTTGCTGCTCGATGGGATGCAAGTGTAAACCGGTCCTCAAAACACGAAGGTTTGGAAAAGAGAGGAAAAGGTCTGCCTGTTATTACAGAAAAAGTTGAAGACTTTTCCTCCTGGATTTCTATCGCTCCACGCTGCAGTCTGAAGGCAGGAATCTTGCTCGGATTTGATTTGCGTCAGTGTTTATCGATCAGCTCTGCAGCCGCAGGAATAAAAAATAAAAAAAACCTGTGCTCTCTAATGATATTTGATAAGATGAAGGTTGTGTTTATCCTCCACAAAGCTGTTGTGTAATCATTAAAGTAATCGTTTTAAACCTGAAGCTGCAGCGTGTGCTGAACTCGGTTAGAAGTGTTATTAATGTGGGTCCTTTGACGATTTTTGTTTTTTAACTATTAGCTTTTCGGGTAAAATGATGATAAACACACATTCTCAATGAATTTTAGAAAACAATGCGATTCATATTTAGTGCATTTCCTCTCTTCCAAACAAAGGCCATAACTATACATACAGTATCAAACAGTCTAAAAGAAACAGTATTACTCTGCATTACTCTACCTGGGATCAGTGCTGTTTACAGTCCCACAGCATGACGCTGCCACCGATGCTTTAATGTGCTGGTTTGGTAGGAAGCCGTTCACATTTGATCTCCTTTCAGTCCACAATAATATGACACATATCGATGCTTGAGTATTTGTTCCCCCATCGCAGGCTCAAGCTTATTGTTACCGTTTGTATAGTTTTGACCATGCATGTGCAGACAAAAGGACAATAAATTCTAACTAATGCATTAATTTATCCTTTTGTAAACGTTCCACCCGAGAATGACGAGACATATCATGCGTTAGTGGAAAGCCTGAAATTAATGCCAATTTATGCCCATGTTTGGTGCATGTGAACTTCTGACCAGACTGCTGCACACGGAGAGATGGAGAAATGCAGCTTCTTCACTGCTAAACCAGCTGCGGCGTCGGAGCGTCGCGGAGGCCACTTTGTCTATTCGTTGATTTTCGGGCCCGTGTACGTGGAGGAATCGCAGAGGGGTCTTACTTTAGTGGTTAATTCACACTCTAATTAACATCTGCTGTAACTAGTTTTCTCAGCAGATTGGTACACGATACACTGAACCGCTGATGAATAGGCAAACATTGTAACACTTAAATCCCGAAGTTTTTAATTTCCGCAGCACAATAAAGCTCCCCGTTTAAGTCCATTAAATTAGATTTTACTCCCTATCTGATTGGTGCATCTGTTGGTAGATGGATTGTGCAATAACAAAGAGGTTGTTACTTCTTAGTTTTTTTTTTGTTTGTTTGTTTGTTTGTTTTTGGAAGAGGGTATCTGTGTAATGAACTATGGGGAACCCTAAACTTTATTAAAACCATTAAAATGGAATATAAGCTGAGTTTTATTGTATAGTATATATAAAAAGGTTAGATTTTGCACAAAATGCACGGTATATCAGGCATTTTGTCCAAATGGTGCTGAAGACCTTAATTGTAGCTGTACTTTTACTGAAATGCATCAAACAAGTTAAAAACCCACGTTCAGATCAATCTGCAGGCTGTTTTGCACCGTTATCGTTATGTGTTTGTCCCTTTTTGTTGTTTAGGTGTGAAGTAAAAGGTTTCGTCTGGTCATTTGTTCATTTATGCCATCATAAAAGGCGAGCGGAGAGTCCTTTGCCGATTTTACATTCCAGCCTGCGAGCCAAACGGACCGGTATAAATGTTCAGTATGTTTGAAAGGAAGATGCGTGTTCTGTCCTGTAAAGTTAATAAACATGGAATAAAAACTTGACGTCTCATTTGATTAGGTGTTCAAAGGCACAGCCGAGTCAACAATCACTGTCCACATTTAAAACTTTTCAAAACCGTCTTTAGACCAGTTTTGAAAGTTCAAGTAGAAAAGTTCAAAAGAAATTTATGGCAGATATTTCTGTAGGTATCAAAAGTTTAGCTATGAAACCTGCTAAGACTTCAGAATGGATGGATGACGGTTGGATGAATGAGGCGTGGAGGAAAGGTGAATGCATCGACGAATGAACGGGTGTATGAGTCAAGGATAAGTGAATTACAGATGAATAAATGATGAACTAAATGAATAGATGGATATATTAAATGGAGTGGTGGACAAATACTGATTACATTGATGAACAAATGCAGGATGGATAATGAATCAATAAAATGACAAATGGATTGACAAAATTGATCAACAACTGTCAGGAAAAAGATTAACAGAGGGACAGACTGACGTTGGACAAACAGTTGAAGGGACAAATGGACAGCGGGACGTAAACAGGTTTCAGACGACAGGGCAGGAAACGTTTATCCAGACATGGAAAATACATTATTTCCATAGTTTTCCAGAACACCCAGTGCAACATGACACAACAGAAGATCCCCCTGGGTAAAATGGTACCTCTTTATTTACAATAGTTTCACAGAAACAGTTTGCACCACAGTACAGACAACGCTTTCTCAGTAAGGGGATGGGACAACCCGGGATCAGGATAAGCCAGCGGGATCACAATGAGCAGATTCATGTCTTGGAGACAAGACACTACAATTTGGAATCTGAGCCTGAAGACGCCTTCAGTTTCTCTTGAAAACAAACGCCCCGCGGACCGACAATGATTCTGGTTTGAGAACGTCGTGAAGACATCTCAAGCTGTGCAACCGCCCGCTCTGCGACACCAGAAGACGGGTGCACAGGTAAACGTATCCGGTTCAAACTCCACCTGTTGGCAAACAATCGTTTTGCGGTTGCCAGTCGTTCCCCGGTGAAGCTGCTGATGCTGCATTGTTAAACTTCCCCTCAATCCTGGATTTGGATCCTAAAATTCCTTCGTCTAAAAATCTGTCTACAATATGGCTTTTTATATAATTGGAAACAATATGTAGTCTACGCGTACAGGCCCAAACAGCAGATGGCACATAAATAACAAAGCTTAGGACTTTCATCCGAACTGGACCAAGTTTCAGAACCAAAAAACCCCCCCAAAAAAAGAAAATCCCATTAAACTTTTATTCAAATGAATACTGTAGGAGGCCGACATCTGCTCTGATTAAAATGTTTAAAAGGCAACACAATCCGACTTTTCTTCGCAAATATCCATTTAAAAACAATCGAGCACAAAAGAAGAAAAATACAGAGCTCTAATGGGAACACATAGCAGCACGTGTGTGGCAAACACGCTCGTTCAACCCGACTCCGACATGCACATTTCCACCCGGAGTCTCCAGAAGGTTAGAGAACTCCCGTTTTCTCATCCGTTGACTCCGGAACAGGACGGCCTCGCGGTTCTCTTAAAGGAATGTTGCCCTCCGCCCCGTTGTGAAACTTTTGACGGCGCGAACGAAGGAAAGACGCGAACCAAACCGAGTCCTGCTACAGAATGCGCCGAAGCTACACTGACCAGAACCAACTGAAGAACATCCGTAGAGAACGCCGCGATTCTTCTGTCATCTGGCTTTTTGACTCGTTCAAATACAGTTCATTGTAAAAGTGATTTTTAAAAAAACAAACTGTTTATAAACATTAGAAAACAAAGCTTGACGTTGCTGAATATGCAGATGCATCTCAATAAAGAAAAAGAGCTGAAAAGTCCCTTTTATATTTTCATCGCAGAGTGATACGTTTTAGTCATAGTTTTGCTGTCAATTTAGTGATTAACCAATCGTCTCAAATTCATTTTCTCATAAAATCTGAGTATTACATAAGAGCAATCAACAACTTGCCAGCGCTGAAGCAGAAAGTTGTTAACTCTTTTCATAAAGAGCATATGGTACCAAGAAGATGGCTGATTAAAAACCGCTACGGTCAAAGATGATCTAAAGTTCAGTTGAAGGAAGAAATCTGCTATAAAAAATGTGCAGAGTTAAGAGGACAGTCTACTTCCACTGAGCAGACTGATGAATTTATATTAGCTGCAAGCTATGATATGCTTCAAATCTATTGTGTTTCTAATAAATTTAAATGTCATTTTTTTCCAAATCGAATTTTGCTCATTTTCCAGTTTAATGCGATGAACCTGTACAGTCAACAAACGTCTAGACTCAGTGACTGGAAGACAAGAAGCCGCGCTGGGGTTGGATCGACGCTCCGAGATCGTCTTTAACGAGGAAAAGCAAAGAGTATCAAAACAGATAAAGCAGATGCAGACCTTAGTAGTTGAACCTACATCTTTGTTCTACAGGATTATACCTCAGCTTAATATTATAGCACCATCTCAAGCAAATGACGAGGTTTTTCTTGTTTAAAAAAAAATGGTACATGGTGTAACAGTGAAGCCATCCTACAGAAAACAGATCCAGTTTAATCTGAACAGTACATGTTTCTGTGTCTACCTTCTGATAGGTTAAAAAATAAAAATAAAAAACAGTGAGGAAAAAGTGCAAACTGTTTCTCCTACAAATCCCAGAATGCACCAAGGTGGGTGGCAGTTGTGAAGATATTCTATACATATGGCAGTTCAAACGTTTCCAGTGTACCAAGTCTCAACATTGATAGTTTGATGCTTTTGTGATGCCCTCTGCAGACAGGTATCCATTCAGTGATTGCCTTACGCACAAAGTCTGGAGGAAGCAGAAACGGAGCCCGATAACTCTAAAAACAGCAATCAAACCGTCTACAGATGGGATAAGGCCTGGGGGAAGAGTTCCACCAAAGTGTTTTGTTTAGAAAATGTGGGTTCCTGGTTGGCCGTGAGGAGGTCAGGTCCAGCTGGGTAAACCGAGGGGCAGAGGGGTTTAGAGTTCATGGTCTGACCGAGAGTCAGTCGAGCAAATGTTTACGTGAGCCGATGCGCGAGCGGTGGGAGCGCCGGGCGTCTGGGGGTCCGTATGTGTCTCGGCAGCTTTGGCATATGTATGTCTCTGGCACGTGACTCTTGCGGATTTTAGCGCAGGACAGGTGGATCCAGGTGTTGCACTTGTTACATTCGATCATTGCTCGGCCGGCGAAGGGCTTCATGCAGAAGCACGTGACCAAGTCCCACGAGTCGTCGTCTGAAAGACACAACAGGGTCGGTGAGTTTCCTTTGGTTAAACAATCAAATAGCGATATTGACATTTTGTAGCGCAATGGGACCTTACCGGAGTCCACCATTATGTCCTCGTCCTCTCCTGAGCCGTCTTCGTCTCGAAAGACCACTTGCTTCCCCTGGCGGAACACGGTTCGGTTTCCTGAAAAGCCCTCCACCTTCTGTACCTTTACAACTCCCTCTGCCAGGTCTCGACCGTCCCACTGTCGATGTTCCTCCTTTGGCTCCTCCTTGCAGGGTGAAGGGCTGGGCAGGCACGTGGGGATGAGGGGAATGCT